GCCATACTAGCCTTCTTAATATTTTAATCGTTTCCAAATAGTTCCGCCTTAGACATAAATACTTACAGGTAATAGCTTTAGTAACCTAATTTGTCTCCTTGGGGAATAAATAATTTCAAAATTGTTAAAGAAACAAATTTTAATGGAGTTAAGCATACAAATTAACTCTTAATTTTCACATTTCTATGTGAAAAGAGTATTTTTTCAAAATATTTTTAACATTTATAAGAAAGCGTAACACAGTGAAGCTTCCTGGCACTATCTCCCGAATTCAGAAGCACTTGAACATTGTCTGGCAAAACAATCAGGTACAAAGTTGATTTTGATTTGACATGAGAGCATCACAGAACTCTGTTTGTCAGAAATATATAAACTCTATCAGAGCCAATAAATCTGGGGCTACACCATTCTTTATCCAATGAAATGCTCCAAATAATGAAGGTTTTAATAACTTAGTCCTTATAACATTAACTTATCTCAGAACACTGCTATTCTCCCAAGGTCAATACAAGGGAGAAAGAACAACTTTATATTATATAATAGCATTTAATACTTTACTATATTAAAGTACTGTGCTAAGCATTTCTCCTCCAGTATTTGATGGGACTTATGCAACCCTATGAGCTAGACACTACCACCATTGTTATTTTGTGCAGAAGGAGACTGAGGCAGTAAGTGGAGGAGCCAGTAGACACATTATGGGAAAAATGACTTAAGCTAAGGAATGAAGCCAGAAAAGCAGCCAGGGAAGGAAAGAGCTTTCCCAAGAATTCAGGATGACTCATGGCTCATCTTTCCCATCCAGAGATAATAATTTCCCAAATCCCAACTGTTATTTAAGCAATATGGCCAAGGAGATATTTGGGGACAGAGGTGCATAGAAATTTTTCAGTATGCTTTAAATCATATGTTGGCTACTGCCTAACCCTGGCTCTCCATAAAGTATATATGTTGAAAATAGTTTTTTAAAAGTTGGAAAAAATCGGTGGGGGGCACAGGAACCAGTTATCCAGAAGAATTCCCACAAAAAGGAATTCATTGTCACTGTACTTGGAGGTAGTCTGATATCACATATTGGTTATTTTAAATTAATCAATAGGCTAAGAACTAGCTATAGAAATAAATGGTAGCTACAGCTTCCTATAGCTTCCAGTTCAACTCAGTTCATATTTGAAGTTCTTCCTAGAAATACTTGCTATTATTTCTGATTCTCTTTCACCTGGCCAGATATTAAAACATCTCTAACACTCATACATTTAGTCCTTAACTACTGTGCCCTAGAAATAAGATGCATTTCCTTGACTTATATGCTAAGTGTGATAGAACTCTTATTGGTTCAGTTTAATTTTTCTTATTGCTTTCCTGGAAGTACTTGGCAATTCCAGGAGTTGTAACTTATTACAATAATTCAAAGCACTAGGTAATTTAAATTCTTCCCAATTCATAATTAAGAGTTTTAATTTAAATATCACCACAGTGATTTTTATGCAAACAAATCCCCAGGAGCCAATAAATGATTTTGAATTACATTTCTTTTTCTTTGCTATGGTGAGTGGAAACTTGGGAAAGAAATGTAACTCATTTTCTCTAGAACGTAAAATATTCCAAGCTGTAGAAATTAGTTTACAAAGGATATATTAGAAATAATTTTCAGGAAATATATAGACACACATAAGTGAGTGTGTGGCCCACTGTGGCCCTCAATAAAAGCAAGTGAAAAAGCAAACCTTATAAAGGGCTGTCCCTTTTTCTTAAATAATGCTTGCTGCCTATTATTTTTTTTCCTGCTGGACAGGAACAAAAATGAGACATAAAACAGAAAAACATTACTCTTTTTCAGTTGACCATACAGTTAGGTCACTCAAAACCACAAATTGGAGCCATATCTCTAAAGATCTTACTTATTGTAGGGGAGACATAAAAATAATCAAAGCTGAATATTTCAGAAAACTAGCTTTGGTTAAGAGATTAAGTCTTTTTACTACTTCGAACCTGAATTCGCCAATGCTTATTGACTCTACTGAAACTCTAGTAACTTTTTAGGGGGACAGATTTTTCAGATGTGTCCTGCCTATGCAATAAAAGTAATTCTGGGGTGGCTCATAACCTCTCTCAATCTCAGCATGACTTAACTTCCCAATCTCAATTTGCCTGCCTTTAAAATGTGAGTAATCATAGTATCCACTACATCATGCTGCTGGGGAAATTAAGTGAAATCATGTATGAAACTGCTAAGTACTTTAACACACACCTACTCAATAAATGTCTGTTATTAACTTCTCTGATAATAGTTATAATTTAGAGGGCCCTGCTACTGGAACTTGAATCAGAATAATAACTCAGGTGATTATCACTGAAAAGCAAAGTACATTAAACATTTAAAGAGAAACTCATGCATTTATAACTCATCCAACAGCAAACAACGATCCTGCTTGCTAAAGATGCTGAGAGTTTCCAGGCATCTAGGACCAGATGTGTTCATTGGGGAGCGGAGAGTTTACACTCCAGCAGCCTGGAATCACCACTCTGCCCTTAACATTCGTAACAGGCCTTGAATACAATCGACATCTCAACTGGGAAATATATGTGCCTGGGGAACATCACACACTGGGTGATAACACTGCAGCTCTGAGAGTAAGAGGTTTGTAATAACAAGTGGGTAGAAACTTCTTTGTGCAAGGTACCTATTAGCAGATGATGATGCCTCTAAAAAATCAAAGGAGAAAAACCAGTACAATAGTGTAAAGTATACGAATGTTAGGAAAATTGAGGTAATTTTAGTTTGTGAGGTCATCAGGCAAAATTTGAAGATATTCTTTAATAAAAATATTGAGGATTTTTGAGGATCAACTTTTACTAATCATCACAGCATATATGTCTGAAGATACCAACATTTATTTTATTCTGATAATGGATATTTCTACAGACAGGACAAAATGACTATGTTTAGGTAAAAAATAAAAATAGGAACTATGATTTGCTGAAGCATTGGCATACTGAAAAACCAATAATCTGAAATTGTTATTTGTGTGAAGTCATTGGCAATGTAAATGAACATTCAATTATGGTTTTTTGGATTATCTATTTTAATTTTTTATTACACTTTAATTTCTGGGACACCCATGCAGAATGTGCAGTTTTGCTACATAGGTATACATGTGCTATGGTGGTTTGCTATACCCATCAACCCATCATCTATATTCTGTATTTCTCCTAATGTTCACCCTCCCCTTGCCCTTCACCTCAATAGGCCCAGGTGTGTGACGTTTCTCTCCCTTTGCCCATATGTTCTCATTGTTCAATCCCACTTATGAGTAAGAACACGCAGTGTTTGGTTTTCTGTTCCTGTGTTAGTTTGCTTAGGATGATGGTTTCCAGGTTCATCCATGTCCCAGCAAAGGACATTAACTCATCCTTCCTCCTTTTTTATGACTGCATAGTATTCCATAGTGTATATGTGTCACATTTTCTTTATCTAATCCACCACTGATAAGCATTTGGGTTGGTTCCAAGTCTTTGCTATTGTGAATAGTGCTATAATAAACATACATGTGCATGTGTCTTTATAGTAGAATGATTTATAATCCTTTGGGTATATCCCCAGTTAAAGGGATTGCCTGAGTATCACCAGAGGGTACTGCAGAACAGCAGAAATTGCTGCCTGCTCCTTCCTCTGGAAGCTTTGTCCCAGAGGGAAACCTGCCCAATGCCAGCCAGAGCTCTCCTGTATGAGGTAGCTGTCAACCCCTGTTGAAAGCTGTCTTCCCATCAGGAAGCATGGGGGTCTTGAGGAAGCAGCCTGTCCCTTAGCAGAGCTTGAGCACTATTGCTGGGATATCTGCTGCTCTCTTCAGAGCTGGCAGGCAGGAAGGTTTAAGTCTGCTGAAGCTGTGCCCATAGCTGCCCTTCCCGCAGGTGCTCTGTCCCAGGGAGACAAGAGTTTTATCTATAAGCCCCTGACTGAGGCTGCTTCCTTTCTTTCAAAGATGCCCTTCCCAGAGAGAAGGAATCTAGAGAGGCAGTCTGGCTACAACGGCTTTGCTGTGCTGCAGTGGGCTCTGCCCAGTCCAAACTTCCCAGTGGTTTTGTTTACACTGAGAGGAGAAAGCTATCTACTCAAGCCTCAGTAATGGTGGATGGCCCTCCCCCAACTAAGCTGGAGTGTCCCAGGTCAACTTCAGACTGCTGTGCTGGCAGCAAGAATTTCAAGCCAGTGGATCTTAGCTGGGCTCCATAGGGGTTGGATCTGTCAAGAAAGACCACTCAGCACCCTGGCATCAATCCCCTTTTCAGGGGAGTCAGCACTTCTGTGTCACTGGCATTCCAGAGTATGAAAGAAAAAAAAAAAAAAAAAAACTCCTGCACATAGCTCAGTGTCTGCCCAAAGGGCCACTCAGTTTTGGTCACTTGAAACCCAGGGCCCTGGTGGTGCAGGCATCTGAGGGAATCTCCTGGTCTGTGGGTTGCAAAGACCATGGGAAAAGTGTAGTATTTGAACCAGATAGCATGGTTCCTGATGGCACAATCAGTCGTGGCTTCCCTGGCCTAGGGGAAGGAGTTCCCCAACCCCTTGCTCTTTTAGAGTGAGACAACACCCCACCCTGTTTCTGCTCACCCTCAGTGAGCTGCACCCACTGTCTAACCACTCTCAATGAGATGAACCAGGTACCTCAGTTGATAATGCAGAAATCACCTGCCTTCTGCACTGATCTCACCTGGAGCTGCCAACTGGAGCTGTTCCTATTCAGCCATCTTGCCAGCCCACTCAATCATTCTTAAGGAGACTATGTCTAATTGATAACAGTAAATTTGCAAAGCCCACATGAAACTTTTGAGGGATTTAACAATCATTGGGGAAAGGATTTTTGTATTTACGTGACAAAATTATGACTCTGAAAGCTGAAAACTCATTATTTTAGTGATTTTAAACTGCTTTTGATGTACACATGAACACACTTATACAAATACATACACATACATGAATCAGAAAGAACACTTACTGTCATTTCATTCATGCTCAGGAGCATGGGACTAGGTGGCAAGGTGCCAAGGCGAAATTTGAAACCATCTTCTAAAGTCATTCCCCAAAATTGGCTGTAGTTCTGTGCTGTCCAACTGCCTTACAAATGAAAGAGAAAAATATATACAGGTTATGTGACATCACTTTTATAAACACACATTTATTTATATTTCTGAAATTCAACAGCAGCAAATCTCACATAATGAGAATTATTGAAGGCTAGATATTCTTTACGTAAATGATGCATTATTATTTTAATAATCAAGGGTATGAGATACTCTTTCTAAATAAGATCCATTTTAGGAATTTTAATGACTCATATGAGGAACACAAGGCCATATTAATATAGGCTAATGCTAAGAATATGAAATTTTTACATACATATTAACACTTACAAAAGGATTAAGTGTTAATAAGGCCAATATATGCAGCTTCCTTTAAATGCCATTAAATGCATCTTAGAAGCTTAAATACACAGAAATGTACTTACACATTAAATAGGTTAATATATTTTCTTTACAATTTAGATTTGAAAAGAAATTGAATAGGTAAAAAAGTATACATAAAAAATGAAGGACAAAATAGTTATAATTTTTTAAACAACATCAGTGCTAATTAGATATTGACATATTCTATATTATATATTAAATGAATTTATTTGTGTTAAGTGCTCAGGCATCTTAGTAATAAAAATCAATTGATATGAAATTAGGTAACAAAAGTGTATATTTTTGTAGAGACATATTTTGTGTCATTAATTAGAAAAAAACTTTCTCTTCAGAATTTAAAAAAATATTGAAATTTGAAGACAACAAAAATTTTTTACAGATGATAGTAGATAAAAAATTAGAAAGATGCAAGAAACTTAATCATTCGCTATTCTGAACTATCTACAACTTGAGGTCAATATATTTTCAGTACTTTTGTCAAATCTAAATCCTGTCCTGTTATGATTATCACCAATATTGTTTATAATGTGATAGGCTATAATGAAACATTGAAACTATAATGTAATTTTTTTTTTTGTTCTGAGACAATGTTATGCTCTCATTGCCCAAGCCAGAGTGCAATGGCACCATCTCAGCTCACTGCAACTCTCACCTCCGAGATTAAAGTGCATTTCCTCTCCTGCCTCAACCTTCCAAATAGCTGGGATTACAGGCATGCACCACCACATCCAGCTAATTTTTTGTATTTTTAGTAGAAATCGGGTTTCAACATGTTAGCCAGGCTGGTCTCAAACTTCTGACCTCAGATGATGACTGCTTTCCTCTGCCTCCCAAAGTGCTGGGATTACAGACATGAGCCACTTCACCTGGCCTGCAACTTAATTTTTAATAATATACCTGGCAATCCCAAGATGGCTGAATAAGAGGCAGCTCCAGAAAGCAGCTCCCAGCGAGAGAGCTGCAGCAGTCAAGTGGTCTCCACAATTCCAAACGAGGTACCATGTTCATTTTGTGGGTCGGGTCAGACAGTGGGTATAAAGCAAATAGGGCATTTTGTGGCAAGGTGGGGCACTGCCCCACCTAGGAGAAGCGTGCAATCAGCCAGAGGACTGGAGGATCTCCTCAAGACTTTGGTTCGGATACAGCGCTCTACTCAAGCCCTCTACAACCCACAGAACAGGAGATCTTCGCTGGGCTGAAAAGCCTTAGCGAGCTGCCTGAACAGAGCAGAACAGCAACTTCAGCCAGCTGGGGAGGTCAGCATAGACCTAGGCAGAAGCACCGGCAGATGCTGAGAAAGCTAAAAGCCAGTGGGATGGAGCTACCCGTCCCCCAGTAAGAAGGGAAATGGAATGCAGGGAAACAGCCCAAACAGCAGGATGGGTCTCCCTGTTGCACAAAGCCCAGCAGGCCAAAAAACTCTCACTCCACTCCAGAGTTAGACACCCAGAATGTCAGTTAGAGAGTGACCAGGAACTATGCAGCTTGGCAGGTGGAATGAAAACCGCCATTGCAGAAACCAGTCTAATTTTCCTGAGTGAATAAAAGATGCAGCAGCTCCACTGAATCAGTGGCAGCCCAGCAGCATCTCTGCAGGCAGACAAAGGAAAGGCTATCTTCCCCAAGCAGCTACCTGAGATGAAAACTATAAAAATTCAAGGGATAAGGAGAAACCAGTGCAAGAATAATGAAACCATCTAAAATCACAATGTCTCTCCCCAACCACGAGTTCACAACTCCTCACCAGAAAGGGAACAAAGCAGGACAGAGAACAAATTTGATGAATTGACAGAAGCAGGCTTCGGAAGGTGGGTAATAACAAACTTCTCTGAGTTAAAGGAACACGTTCTGTCCCAATGCCAGGAAAGTAAAAACCTTCAAAAAACACTGGACAAAATGCTAACTCGAATAACTAGCTTGGAGAAGAACATAAACAACTTGATGGAGCTGAAAAACACAGTACAAGAACTTCATGAAGCACACACAAGTTTCAATAGCTGAATAGATCAAGCAGAAGAAGGGATATCAGAGATTGAAGATCAAATCAATAAAATACAAAGAGAAGGCAAGAAAAGAGAATGAACAATGAAAAGAAACAAACGAAATCTTCAAGAAATATGGGATTATGTGAAAAGACCTAATCTACACCTGATCGGTATACTGGAAGATGACGGAGAAAATGAATTCAAGCTGGGAAACATTCTTCAGGATATTATCCAGGAGAACTTCCCCAACCTAGCAAGGCAGGCCAACATTCAAATACTGGAAATACGGACAACACCACAATGATACTCCTTTAAAAGAGCAACCCCAAGGCACATAATACTAAGGATCACCAGGGTTGAAATGAAGGAAAAAATACTAAGGGCAGCCAGAAAGAAAGGTCAGGTTACCCACAAAAGGAAGTACATCAGACACACAGCAGATCTTTCAGCAGAAACCCTACAAGCCAGAAGAGAGTGGGGGCCAATATTCAACATGCTTAAAGAAATGAACTTTCAACCTAGAATTTCATATCCAGCCAAACTAGCTTCATAAGTGAAGGAGATGGAAATTCCTTTATGGATAAGCAATTGCTAAGGGATTTTGTCACTAAGAGACCTGCCCTGCAAGAGCTCCTGAAGGAAGCAATAAACACAGAAAGGAAAAACCAGTACCAACCACTGGAAAAAAGGACCAAATGGTAAAGACCAATGATGCAATAAAGAAATCACACTGTCTAAAGGGTAAAACACCCAACCAGTAATACAATGGCAGGATCAAATTCACACATAACAATATTAACATTAAACATAGATGGACTAAATGCCCCAATCAAAAGACACAGACTAGCATATTGGATAAAAAGCCAAGAACCATCAGTGTACTGTATTCAGGAAACCATCTCATGTGCAAAGACAAACATAGACTCAAAATAAAGCAATGGAAGATTTACCAAGCAAATGGAGAGCAAAAAAAAAAAAGCAGGGGTGGCAATCCTAGTCTCTGATAAAACAGACCTTAAACAAACAAAAATCAAAAGAGACAAAGGAGGGGATTACATAATTCTAAAAGTATCAATACAACAAGAAGAGCTAACGATCCTAAATATATACACACCCAATACAGGAACACCTAGATACATAAAGCAAGTCCTTAATGACCTACAAAGAGACTTAGACTCCCACACAATAATAATGGGAGACTTTAACACTCCACTGTCAATACTAGATCAATGAGACAGAAAATCAACAAAGAAATCCAGGACTTGAATGCAGATCTGAACCACATGAACTTAATAGACATTTACAGAACTCTTAGCCCCAAATCCACAGAATCTACATTCTTCTCAGCACCACATCACACTTACTCTAAAATCGACCACATAATTGGAAGTAAATCACTCCTCAGCATATGCAAAAGAATGGAAATCATAACAAACAGTCTCTCAGACCACAGTGTGATCAAATTAGAACTCAGGATTAAGAAACTAACTCAGAACTGCACAACTTCATAAAAACTGAACAACGGGCTCCTGAATGTTGACTGGGTAAATAATGAAATGAAGGCAGAAATAAAGATGTTCTTCAAACCAATGAGAATGAAGACACAACAAACCAGAATCTCTGGGACACATTTAAAGCAGTGTCTAGAGAGAAATACATAGCAACAAATGCCCACATGAGGAGCAAAACAAGGTCTAAAATTGACACCCTATCATCAAAATTGAAAGCTAGAGGAGCAAGATCAAAAAAACTCAAAAGCTAGCAAAAGACAAGAAATAACTAAGATCAGAGCAGAACTGAAGGAGATAGAGACACAAAAAAATTCAAAAAAATCAATAAATCCAGGAGCTGGTTTTTTGAAACATCAATAAAATAGATAGACCACTAGCCAGACTGATAAAAGAAAAGAGAGAAGAATCAAATAGATACAATAAAAAATGATAAAGGGGACATCATCACCAATTCCACAGAAATACAAACTACCATCAGAGATTACTACAAACAACTCTATGTACGCAAACCTGTAAATCTGGAGGAAATGGATAAAGTCCTGGACACTTGCACTCTCCCAAGACTAAACCAGGGAGAAAGTGAATCCCTGAATAGACGAATAACAAGGGCTGAAGTTGAGGCAGCAGTTAATAGCCTACCAACTAAAAAAAGTTCAGTTCCAGACAGGTTCACAGACATATTCTACCAGACATACAAAGAGGAGCTGATACTATTCCTTCTGAAATTATTCCAAACAATACAAAAGGAGGGAATCCTCCCCAACTCATTTTATGAGACCAACATCATCCTAATACCAAAACTGGGCAGAAACACAACTAAAAAAGAAAACTTCAGGCCAATATACAGGATGAACATCGATGCAAAAATCTTCAATAAAATACTGGCAAACAGAATGCAACAGCAAATCAAAAAGCTTATTCATCATGATCAAGTAGGCTTCATCCTGTGGATGCAAGGCTGGTTCAACATACACAAGTCAATAAATGTAATCCATCACGTAAACAGAACCAAAGACAAAAACCACATGATTATCTCAATAGATGCAGAAAAGGCCTTTGACAAAATTCAATAGTGCTTTATGCTAAAAAAAAAAAACCAATAAAGTAGGTATTGATGGTATGTATCACAAAATAGTAATAGCTATTTGTG